AATTACATGAAAAGAAAGGAGGAACAAGAGAGAGAGAGAGAGAGAGAGAAACTTTTCCAAATATCAAAATCGTTGCAACGAAAACAAAGAAAAAATTTCAACATCAACGACAAACTTAATCACAATCACATGAGTCTTTTAAAGATACAAATTAAGATTCACAGCTTCAATTGTTTCAATTACTTAAAAAACTCTTAATTGTTGATAAATATACTTAGTTAACAATTTATCTTTACCTGTCAGGTATGTTGGATATAAGTTTTTACCTTTTTTTCAATTTTCCAAACACAAATAAGTGACATTAGAACTGATCAACTTGAATGCTAATACCTTTCACCTAATTAATGATGTTGATACAATGTTGATGATGATAATAAAAGTAGATTAGTGAAAGTTTTTCACTAAATTGAAAGAAAGGATTATCATCATCATCATCATGAAGATCTCAGGTAGAGCTCAAGGTAATAGTGAGATTAAAGTTTGTTCAATATAATGTTTGTTTAGCGTCTTAATTGTGTCTATCAGCTTAATCATTATCTGACACAATTGTAAATGATATTATCTTGTGAGAGTGGAGGAAGTATAATAAATAGACTGAGTGATAATCATGAAACTCAGTATTTATCCATCAAGAATTATTCTGATAATGAGAAGTGTTGAAAATTAGAAGGTATATTCAGAAATCTAATTTCATGATGATAATTACGCCTAAAGGAGGTGAGAGATCGTTTATCACCTGAATGCTCATCATCTCCATCAAGAATTCTCATGATTTTTCTGAGGAAATTATGAATAATATCACGGAATAAGTATAAGAATGAGGAAGGAAAAAAATCTAAATCCAAATAATTCTGTTTTTTTAACTTTCCTCGTTTCATTCCTCAGTTTTCATGGATTATTTTCATCATGGAAATTAACTAATCATGATGACAGTTAAAGTTTACTAAATTCTCTTACTTATTATCACCATGATTGTTGACGTTATGGTTAAGAAATTGCTTTCTATCTCTCTCTTCACTCTGAAACTTAAATGAACTTTTTGATTATCATGTTGCAAGAATGAAAATTACCACAGATACTCACAGGATCGAGTCAACTACTCATCATCAGAATAACAGATTAACTTTATGGAGAAAAAGTTTTTTTTTTCTTCTTTTTTTATACTGTTAACATTATTCTTATAATTCAGTCAGAATGAGAGTGAGTTCTCAAATAAATTCAGTAACTTGGAACGAGAAATCATGAAGATAAACAGATAATTCACTCAGAATATTTGATAAGCATGAATAATAGTAGCCAGAGAAAAAATTTCCTTCTAACTCATAATCATGGAGCTCATGACGATAATTCATTTATCATGATTATTATCAATTTTTATCGTCTCTTAGCGAGCAATTTAATCATCACCATGATGAATTACAATCATAAAGATATTAATAACAAACTGTAAGTAAGAAAATGAGTGAAAATTGCCCATGGGCTGAATAAGAAAAAAAACTTCTCATGAAGATGAACATTGAACATTTTCAAAATCAGAACTTTTTTCCCTCATTCCTAATCCGAACGGATTTTAACCACTATTACAATAATATTATTGGTGATTAAAGTTAATTATGATTGAAAGTGTAATTATCATCTGAATAGATTTGACAAAAAGAGCATTAAAACGTCAACAATTTAAGCGATTAACAATTAACTCTTTTTTTAATTAGTTTACTTTGAATTAGAACAAATTTTTTCTTCTCTTTTTTATTCAGTCAAGTTATCTATTCATTTCCATTATTTCAAATTGTATTCAGAGTTTTTTACCTTACACTTTAACCCTTGGAAAATGATATTATCATGATATTACATTCGATGAGAACTTTTCCTTCTCATCTTGTTACCTTCTCATCCCAGTTTTCATGATCATCATTATCATGAATTCCAACCCACTGAGATGAGAAACTTCAACTTGAATAACTTGTAATTATAAACCAAAGTACAGTTGATGAACATTTATCATGGAAAAAGAAGCAAAAACTTGAATCATGTTTGTCGGAGTTTTCCAACTGATTATTTGGTTCCATGGATTTGTTATCACCACCATGATACTGAATTTCATCATGATCAGTATAGATAGAATTAGATTTTCTCAGTCCAATTTGTATTACAAATGATGAAACTTTTTTACGATTTTACTTTTTCCTTTTGATTCAGTAACTTTTTTCATCTCGCACCAGAAAAAAAAACTTGAAAAATTCTTGATTCATATTCAGTTGACTATCAACTTGAGCTACTATTCAATCAGAATCAGTGATTCAAGATAAGATTAACTTTCTGTTGTTTCATCATTTATGACACGATGATCATCATTGTAATCACCATGTCAACTGGTTCATGAGATGTTGAGCTCAAATTTTATTCAAGACAAATCAACACTTGAACATGAAACTTGAACTGATCAACTTAATTGTTACAATTTATCATCACTCTGTTTCATTTAATCATTTTATAAGTGCTCAAAACTCAAGAGCTGAATATTATTATTTGTTTCAATCTTTCAACTCCATGAAACAACATCTTCAATCAGAATGATAATCATGATATAATTTTTTTTCTTTTTGCTTCTACAATGATTGATCTGATAGCTTCTGATGATGATGATGATGATGATTTTCATGAATGATAAGTTGAGTCAGAATTTAAGAAGCCTGATCAATATTTTTCGAGTAAAATTTCAAACTCAAGGTTATCGAGTATAAATAAATATATCAGTTTTTCATCAAATTTAGAGTAATTCATCAGATTATTTATCAATCATCATCATCATCATCACGGGAAAAAGAAAGCCAAAGAGAGAGAGAGAAGAAAGTTCAAAATGATCAATTTGATTGCCATTTAGATTTTGAATGAGAAGGTAAAAGAAAATAAAAAAGTTCCAAGTTTTCAAGTTTCATGGTAGAAAAAAAGTTGAAAAGCTTCTCTCTCTCTCTCTCTCTCTCTCTCTCTTTCTTTCTTTCTTTCTTTCTTTCTTTCTTTCTTTCTTTCTTTCTTTCTTTCTTTCTTTCTTTCTTTCTTTCTTTCTTTCTTTCTTTCTTTCTTTCTTTATAATAATAAGATGTAACTCTTACCCTTGAAAAGTAAAAGTTTCAAGAATAAATAATGATGTTTATTAAATAATTGAACTTTCAAATTGGAGTAATAATGAGATTGAATTTGGGGTGGAAAAGACTCAGAGTGAAAAGATAGGAGGGATGAGGATGAGAAATACAAGAGGTAGAAGGTGTAGATTAAGTTGAGATTGATTCTGAAAAATAAGGAACCATTAGAAACCATTTCAAGTTATTTTTTTCTTCTCCTACTCTGGAAGCTTTTTCAGCATTCGGTGAACCATGAGTATAACATGGTAAAATATCCGATGAACAGGGTGAATGGTTCTAAAGAAAAGAAAAAGAGAAAGATTAAACAGAACTATCCTGAATTTTCATTATTTCTCCAAGAATCTGATTCCATGATGATTATTATTATTTTCATCATCATCATCAAAGGTACTAGATCTGGAATAGGAAAGAAACCTTGTTTCAATTCTGGTTGGAAAATTAATTCTTATTTGTTTCAGGGTAAGCTTCATTTCTTCCATGAAATTTCATGGTTTTTTACTCTAAGGAGGATGAGAAGTCAAGATATTGGTTTTCTATTTTCCAAACCCCCCTGTCCTCTTGATCAATCTATTTAATCCAATGAAAATCTCATGAAATCGAAGATGTAAAAAAAACTAGCACGAATGCTGTTGAATTAAATAAAAACATGAATATTTGATATTTTAAAAATAAAAATTCTCACATGACCAGGACAATGCTCGTCGTGGTTGTCATGTGGTAAATACAAATGTAATATTGAAATCAGGAAAAGAAAATCAGAATTACGAAATTCTGATAAACGCTTCTTAATTTTTGTTTACTAGGTTTTTTCATATTCATCTTATTAATTTATCTCTCTTACTTTTCCGGAAGAGGAAAGAGTTTACTTCCAGGATATAGTATTAATAGTCGATTTTAAGGAAAATACTGATTAAGATGATGAATTAGATGATTGAGTAGTTTGATTATCATCTTGCCTACTGATGAGAATTCTTGTTTTATCAGTAGGAGTAAATGTGATTTATTGATAATCAGAATCATCTCAATTCATTGGAATGATATTTTCTCTACTTGAATAATATGTTTGATCTTGAACTTTAATCAGTGGATATGAGATGAGAATTGTGAAAAGCATGATGACCAATTGGTAAAATAATTGCTTCTTATTTTCATCCTTTCCTGTTGATAATTCATTCGAGTGGCAGTGTAAGCAAAATCAGTCAGAATTGATGACAAGGTTGAAGATGAAGATAATCAAGATACACTCAATGTATGAAATGATAACGAAATAAAGTTCTAACAAGTTCGATTGAGCCTTCAAAGTGAAAAAGAAAAATGATTTAATCGAAAGACAAAGTTACAATGTTTTCAACGTAAATTTTTACTTCTTTCCTTAAGATTTGTTGGGTTAGAACTTTTTTTTATATTATTATTATTATCTGCTAACCAACAGATAACTTTATTATTTAGAAAAGGAAATTATCAATAGAATTGTTGAAGAAGAGAGAAAAGGAGAAGAAGAAGAAGAAGAAGACGATGATAATGAAGACAACATTAGTTCTCGTCATCGACAGAAAGAGAGAAAGAGAAAAAAGTTTATCTTCAATTCTCAATGTCAGATTCGACTCAGATGCAGTCGATCCCCTTTCTTAGAACTCTTCTGAACTATTATCTTCATCAACATGGATATGAAATAGCATGACTGGTAAAACAGAATCAACAGAATCAGAATTGATCCTGAAAAAATGAAGAAAGAGGAAAAAGAAACAGAGAGAGAGAGAGAGAGAGAGCAAAGTGATGAGGAGCAAAAGAGGAAAAGATGATGAGGATGGAGAAGATACTTCTGAGCTATTCAGTTTCTCATCATCACTCCAACCAAAACAACAATAAAAACAACAAGAAACAGAATCAAAATCTACACTTTCTCTCTCTCTCTATTCTCATCTCTCCATCTCTATCACCTCCTTTTCTCACTCTTGCATCTTATCCTCTCTCTGACTCTCAGTAATCACTTTAATTTCTGATAATTTTCTGTTCTCATCAACACTTAACTCTTATTATCATCAAGCCTTTATTTTTATATTGATAATCTCATCATAATTGTGCTAATCACCGTCATCTTCACCAGCTGATCAAAACTGTGTCAAAGTGCTTCATATACTCTCTCTCTCTCACACACACAAGAGCTGATATATATTTATTTGAGTGATAAAGTGTATGTGATAAAATTGTTTAAGTGTCAAGTTCATATTAATAATTTGAATCAACAATTTTTTCCCTTCACTAATTGATTGATAACCAACTCTATTCAGTCAACAAATCAGTGCTATTAATTGTTACATATGCAAATTGATTTTAGTATCAAAGTTAATCTGATAAACCAAAGTAAAATCTTAGATTACAATTAAGTCTAATTGCGATTAACTAACAACAAGTATTCAACTAAATTGTTAAATGAAACTTGTTGCTTCCTAAAAAAACCATTAGTCTCATAATAATCATTAGAATCAAAGATTCGATACAAAATCAAGAAGGAAGAGAAAAAGTTCTAATCCATTATTATCATTTTCGAATCTTCTTCGCCACTCTCTCTCTCTCTCTCTCTCTTTTATCAACAATCATCCATCAAATTGATTGATTTCATCAATAATTTACCGATAAGTTAGAGAAACAGAAAAAAGTTCATTGTGCTAATTGGATTAAAATTGGTTCGAGCATCGATTCTAAGCTAAGTTTACATCGAATTTGAAAAAAATTCTTTTCTTTTTTATTGATGATAAATTTCATCTTCCTTATCATTCTGTCTCCCATAACCATGGATACAAACCATTATTGTCACCATTGAATATTTATCATCATCATCATCACTATCATCCTAACATCAATCTCTTTGTGTATCATCATTTAGTTCAATTCATATATCGAGTCCTTACAAAACCATAATCTTGATCATCATTATCATCTTTAGTCATCCTCATCCTTTTCTCGTCCCTTATCAGCATCTTCATCTTCATCATCATCTTCTTCTCATCTCCTTTTCTTCCTCAATAACCTGTCAAATACGAATAACTCTAGACAAAACCAACGAAAGAAAAGATTACGAATATTTTTATCTTTCTCTTTTCTCTTTTTTCTTTATATCTCTTTCATTCCTTTTTTCATCTCTTCCTGTTCATCATCTTCTCCCTTTCATCTATTATAATGCTATGAGATGATAGAAAGGCCGGCGATGATAAACTAATCAAAAGAGAAAGAAAAAATAAAAAAAAAGTTCGCATTAAAACAAAAGAAAACGATCTCAATATAATCAGAAAAGAAAAAAGAACTTTCATCTTTCTTGTTGTTCTCTTGAAGAGTTCAAATCATCTGTTCCATCATCATCACGCATCACAGTTTATCAACATTTCTATCACCAATATATTCAGTAAGTGACAATCATCTCCATCATCTCATTTCCTTTTCCTCATCATCCTCATCATTATCTCTTTGTTTTAACCTTTCATCTCAATGGCACGAAAATTTCATCATCCATTTTTTATATATAAATACCATTGTTATCAAATCGTTTTGTCACCTTTATCTTTATCCTTATCATCATCACCATAACCTTTTCTCACTCTCTCTCTTTCTCTTTCTCTCTCACTCTCAGTATCCTTCTCATCCTACTTATCATCATCACAATCTAATACCTTGAATCTTTTTCTCACCTTCATCTTTGTGCACACATGAAACTAACAGGGAAAGAAGAAAAAAATTAGGCAATAACAATGGATGAGGATAAAAGTGATAAATCAAGTGAAATCAAATCAACTGAAAGTAATTTAAGTAATCGTAATAATAAATGCAACCGATCACCAATGATAATTACAAGTGTTGATGAATCTTCATCATGCTCAAATATTAATCTTGATGAAGATCATCATGACCATCATGGTGAACTGAAAACTGAATCAACAACAGCAACAACAACATTAAATAGTAATGATAATAATAAATCATCATCAACAGTAACTCTAACCCATTCAACACCATTATCACCATCATCAAATGAATTATCTGCCCGCAGGGATGTAGCAAAATTAACCTCATCTTCACCCTCAACGGGACATGAGGTCAATCGTAGGTCAACTGAGGGTAATGTTGTCCACCATTTAAAAAGTAAAGCAACAACAATATCAGTTGATGGATTATGTTACACAATTGGTGAGTTTATCTTATGGAAAATCAAGTTGATGATTATATTTGCATGAAGATGATGAATTCATTCAAATTCAATGGGAAATTTTTTCCTCTTCACTACTTGTGTGTATTCATTAACTGATAATACTAATATTAATTTGATTCTCAACATTTCTCTTGATGATTCAAGAAGAAGAAGAGGAAAAATTATCATCACTATAATTAACAAAGGCACAAAAAAGCAAAGTTACTACAATGTTATCTATTATCATGAGTTTAGGTGATGATAAACATGAGAATGATTCAGAGATTCACCAAGATAATCAGAGGATGAAGGGTTAGAAATATGATTACCATTGAATTCAATTGTAAATAACCATGATTATCATGATTATCATGATAACTACATCGTTAACTAAGTAAATTTATGAGGATAACATAATAAATTATCATCAGTTCAATAATATTAGTAACTTTTTTTTGTTGTTTTGTGTCTCTTGTTGTTGTTGTTTCCATCTAATGAACTTACATCAAGTTTCATTCCCATGAATATTTGTCAGATCAACTTTATTTTTGTCCATAAATTGTGATTGTGAAATAATTATTATTACCTAATAAATGGTATTAGATGATCAAAGTTAGAGCCCAAACTTTCAGGATGAGAACAATTTTTACAAGGGAGGGGGAGGAAGATGATGATCAAGGCAGTGGGTAGGAATTGGTAAGATGATGACGATGGAGGAAGAGGGAAAAAAAATGTCATCCAAGATAAAATGTAACTGAGCATCTGAATCTGAACATTCTGGCTCATTATTAGTATCTTGTTGAAGTTCACTTATCATTATAATCAATTTAATGATGATAATAGTCGGATGATGAAGATGAAGATGAAGATGAGGAGGAAAAGATCAAGTCAAACCTTTTAGATGGAGATGGAAAAGGATGAAAAAAGTAAACCTTATGAAGGTTAATTGGTTAACTTTACCTGACCTGGAATTGAACATCGAAAGGTGATGATAGAGAGAGAGAGAGAGAGAGAGAGAGAGAGAGAGAGAGAGATGAAATATATCCATGGGTGAAAGGCGATTAAAAGGTTGAGGGGTTAAGGTGGGTAAGAGTTGGAAATTGATGGAGGATTTATTTTCCTCTCTCACTCATTACTCAGACTCTTTACTCAATCAATTGTTGATGATTGAGTCATTTATATTGACAGTGGGTCTTTTTTAAGCTAAACCATTGAATTAAATCATTTATTGATTCATTGGATTGAATCAAGTTTTCAGTTCATTTTCAAGGTAATTCAGAGTATCAACAACAACTGAGCGATATTATATCATTGTTGCTGTTATATTATTATTATTATCTAACTCCCTGAGAGCCCATTTAGCTCAGGGTGTATTTAGATATATATTTCAAGGGATTGATTTTCACCATCACATGATTAGTTAAAACCTTAATCTTAATCATGGAGGGAAAAGTTGATCGGGTAAATTGTATCACCTTGAAAATCAAACATTTCCATTGTTGAGACTAATCTTTTGAATAGCAAAACAAGACAGCAAACCCCATGTTATATATCATGTTAATTCACGTGGGATTCAGTAAGTAAACCAGGATATTTAAAGGCAACAAATGAGTAAATTTTCACTCACGTATTGAATCAGAACTACCATTGAATTGGAATCAGACAAATTCAACTTATTGGAAAAAAAAGAAAGAAGAAAAAAGTTCTGAAAAAACGAAAATGATACAATTTAGAAATTCATTCGGTTACCGAACAGATCTCATGTGAATTAACAGATTATCGATCAATAGAAACAATTTAAAAAAACATTATCATGATCATGATCCTTCTTCAGGTGAGATTTTTATCTTTTCTATGGATTTTTCATAATCCAAACCAGAATTTTACATGACAAAAATTATGATTCTTCAATATTTCTTGATAACTTTATCATCATTTATTCAGATTAATATTTGGTAATGAAACTTTTATTATAATTTATCAAGAAGTTTATTACCACTGATTATTTTATATCAGCATTTCAGAAATTCATGAGATGTCGTAAAATTGGCTGATTGTCAATAGATTGGCAATTTATAACAATTAATCACGATGAAAAGGATGATGATATACGATAATCTCATCAGATTATTATTATAATATCTCTACTATTAATATTATGAGGAATATTAGGTTTCTGATTTCAAATCCAGGTTCAGTTTCAAGGGATTGAAATAAACTCCAACTAATGTTTTCTCATGAAATTTTTTTTTCGAAATGAGGCAAAATTTCAAGATTCACTTTGTTTCTATTTGTTGTTATTTTTTTCATCTTTCTTTCCATGATTCATTTTCCTTTTAATCATCATCTTATTTTCTAATATCCTTTTTGCTATTTCCTTTATCTAATATTATCCTTTTAACACCTTACACATTTATTTGAATCTTCGTCTCATGATGAATTACAGTTTTTCATCATCTTTTGCTCTTTTTCGGCTTCTCTTACTTTCTTATTTTCTTCTTCAGTCTGTTCAGATACAGAATTCTGTATCTGTTCATTGTCATCCTCTCTCTCTCTCTCTCTCTCTTCCTGTTCTTTCTATGATGTAATGAGGATTTTCCATAATAAAATATGTATGCGAAGCTCTCGTTTTATTTTACTTTTTGTCTCCTTGTTGCTTAACCTGTAATACGTCAGCATTTTCCTTGTAAAAACTGAATTTCTCCCATGAGAGCATCTGATATTCTGAATATTGTTCTGAACTCTTGTCTGTTTACAAAGAGAAAGAAAAAAAGAGATAGAAAAAAAATAACATGGACATTTGAAACTTCTTATCATTTCTCTTACAATGGAATCTTTTTTCCTTCTGTCTATCATCTCTCTCTCTCTCTTACTCATCTTGTTCATCTTGATCATCTTGCTCCTCTTCCTTATCTACTTTCTCATCTTCTTTCGTTTCTTTATTTGCCCCTAGTTCATCTGATATTGTTTACATTAACCAATAAACAATAGAATACATCATTTAACTGTAATCAGAATCAGGAAAAAGAAATAAACTTTTCCCTAAGTTAATTGATTACATGATAAACCGTTTCAGTTGAAACATTAAGGTTACATAATTTTAGATATGAAATTGAGTTTGACAGCGATTGAAGCTGAAAAAGAAGATAAAAAGATTCAGAATTTTTATATTTCAACTTTTTTTTATCACCAAGTCAAAACTTTTGAATGTCATCATGATTTGGAAAAGGAAAATTACTGATATCAATTCAAAATCAGAATAAGAATCCTGAGAAAAGTTAAGAAGATAAATTGTTGAATAAAATTCTGTGTATATAAAGCTCAATATGAGAGAATGAAGAAAAAGATGAAGAAGATGATGATGATGATGATGGAATTGAATTTTCTATTTGAATACCTGATGGAGCATATTAGTTGTTTTCTTTTTTTCTTTTACTCTCAATTCGAATAAAAAAAAACCATAAACTATGTAATAGTCACATTTTTCTTCCTCCCTGTCATCCTCATCTTCATCTCTTACATTTTCTTACCTTTCATGAACATTCACCAAAGCTATGAACTAAGAAATGAACTTAATGATTATCATATATGATGATAAGTACATAAATTGTAAGTACATTTCGAGAACAAGTTTACCTTGAGAAAATTGTTTTCTCATCTCAGTTGGAACTCTTGCTTCAAGAGGTCATTTTCATATGGTCATAATTTAAAGAGAAAATTTTTCACTTTGTCCTGACAAATTTTGGACATCCAGAAAAAGAGTTGAAGAAAAAAAGTTCAGTAAACTTCAGGGTAACATCAGGATTATCGATGATATTCATGAGGTTGGTAATTCTTTTGGTATTGAAACTTGTTCACTGATGAGACTGGATTTAAATTCTAATGGTGAAAAATGACTCCGGGCATTGGCAGGGAAATGATGATGGTCGAAAAGTTTCAATTTTATCAAGATCAACATGAAGATTGTTCAGTTATGGTGATTAAATATTTCACCAGATGAAATGGAAAGACAAACAATCTACTTTGTAAACTTGAATTTCAATTAAATGGGTGGACAAAAGTTCAGTTGAGATCATTTTTTGTTTCCTTTAGATTCAAAGTGTTGACATTTTCCACTTTCATGGTACTTTTTTCATCTTCTCAGCCTTTTTCTTATTCATTGATATATCATCATGAACTTTTGCCTTGTCTTGAGAAAAATATTCAACCCAAATATTTACAATGAAATTTAATATATAACTATTACCACTATCCTCCTTTTTACCACCAACGAAACCCCAGTGTTTACTTTTGCTTAAGAATTTTTCAGAGTTTCCTTTTTGCTATTTTCGTTTTTCTCTTTTTCATCATGAAATTTTAATGCTTCTCTTCAGCATTGAGAAGGTGAGTGAAAACTTTTGACACACTCGTGGAGAAAAAGTGTTGATGAAAAAGCCCATCAACTTATGGGAATTAAATTAGATCAGATTATCTGATTATCCGTGACTTTCAATTGAATTTTAAAAATTCACTGGATGTAGATCACCATGTTTACCTTAGGAATATGAATTCTCAAAATAGTGCTGAGTTAGATAATGTCCACCAAACCCCTTAACCAGAAAAGTAGCTCTTAGATCATGATAATGATAATGAAGTGTCAGCAACATAATAAGTTTAAAGGAATAAAAAATTCAGTAGATTCATGAGATTCCATGAAATTTTCATCGTTAATGACATTACTTAGACTATTGGTTTTCTCAACAAAATTTTGTTTTCTCATTCAAATTTCAAACCTCATCTGTTATGACCAACAATTTACTCAGCTATCAGAATAAAAATAACCACCATGATCCAAGAGTTTCCATGGTTATTCAATATATATTGAACTTTTTTTTCACTTGTTAAACAAATTGAACAAATATAAACATCATCATCATCTTTACTCCAGTGTAAGTTAAGATAAACATTAATCTCACTATCATCTTCATGATACTCTGAATTATCCCCATCAGAATTTTTA